CAAGCTGCACATGCAGGTATTTTCTGTGCTGGTATTTTGCAGTGTGTGTGGGGGAATGGTTTTTTGACTCTGGGAGATCCCGGGGTCAAAAAGAGACACACCGTAAAAAAAAAAACAAAAACAAAAAAGGTGACGCACTTAGTGGCAAAAAAGAGCCTGGCTGCTGGGTCCCAGCCTCCCCTTCCCCACTCGAGGGTTACTTTCTGCACACCAGACCACGCATAGCACAGGCGTTCTGCAATTGTGGCTAAAGGACTCAAGTGACAACATTGACTTTGCTGCATTGAGTGAGAGCTGGTGAGTGGGAGATAGGCAGCTCAAAGAACATGAAAGCAGCTATACCTTCTTCAAGGGTAAACAGAAAGGAGAATGCCACCTTCATGAAGTTGGTTTTGCCATCAAGAATGAACTCACCAAGTTCCCGGTTGGAATTAATGAGTGCCTCATGGCTCTCCATCCTAAACTGGTGGGGAGCCAATATGCCACTGTCTTTGGTGCATATGTCCTGACTCTTGATGCTACCTATGAAACCAAGGAGAAATTCTATGCTGACCCTGACCAAGTACTTTCTGACCTCTGGAGGAAGACAGATTTATTCTTCTCAGTGATTTCAATACCAGAGTTGGAGGGGACTCGAATGTCTGGAATGAAACAATCAGCAAGGAAGAAATGGTCAACTATAGCAACATTCTCCTCTTGATCAAATGCATGGAACATGGACTTGATATCACCAACCCCCTGTTCTAGCACAAAAACAGGAAGAAGACATCATGGCAACACCCATAATCTAAGCATTGGCACCTGATTGACTTCATTGTTTGTGCCTGGGATCACAAAGGTGTCCACATCACTCGAGCTATGCTAAAAGCTGATGATTGCTGGACTAATCACTGACTCATCCGTTTGGTTAAGTCACTCAAACTGGCTCTCAAATGAAAGCTGCAGCAGAAGCAATGCTGATGGAATATCAGTGTCGAAGGACTCAAGGGCCTGATCAAGCTATACATCTTCTATCAGTGCCTTAATGAAAAATTGGTGAATTCTGATCAACAACAATGGAAGAATGTCAGGAGCACTTGGGGTGCCTTGAAGCCCGCTGTCGTCAGCGCCTGAAAAGAGACACTTGGATTCTCTACCAGGAAACATTAAGACTGGTTTGATGAGACTGGATCAGGAGATCCATGAGTCGATTGACTGCAAGCACAGGCCTTTTGTGCTTGGCAGAATGACATCAGCTCCAAGCAAGAGAAATTGAATCTCCAGTGAGCCAAGGCAGAGGTCCAAAGAAGGACCTGCAATATGAAGGACAGATGGTGGGAAGATGAGGTGAATTTGCGCAGTTTTTTTTCAGTTTCATCTAAGGTCTGAAAACTTGGGGACCAAGCCCCTTGAGACATAAGGGTGGAGGAAACCTGATCAAGGAAAGGGGAGCTATCAAAACCCATCAGAAGGAACATTTTGAAGACTTTCTCAGTTGTTGATGATGAGATGACTGACTCTGTTGTTGATGAGAGCGCTTTCAACTCCATCCCACAACACCCAGTCAGAGACTATCCCTTGAACAGTAGACAAAGTGAGGAAAACCATCAAAAAGATGAAGAACAACAAAGCATCTGGAGCTGACAGAATCCCTGCTTAAATCTTCACGAGGAAGGAGAGGAGCTCACGTCATGGCTCCATGCCCTTATCCTAATGATTTGGAATGATGAGGAAATCCAAGATGACTTCAGGAACAGCCTGATTGTGACAATCTTCAGGAAAGGAGACAAGTCCAACTGTGTAAATTTGAAAGGGATCCCCTTGCTGTCCACTACAGGAAAGATCATTGTGAGAACCCTCTTGATCTATCTCTTTCCACTTGCTGGAGAGCAACTCCTAGAAGCTGTGTGGGGTTAGGGCATCAAGAGGAAAAACTGCCATGATCTTCATAGCTTGCCAGCTGCAGGAAAAATGCCGGGAACAACATAAAACCTCTCATGGCCTTATTTTACCTCATGAAAGCCTTCAACTCTGTCAATACAGATGCCTACCAAAATCTGTCACCATTCTTTCCCTGTTCAATGACAGGATACTAGTGGTGGTTCTGAGTAATGGTTCTATCACGGATCTCTTTGAGGTTAAGACGGGAGTTAAGTCATCAAGCTCCGGCATGCTGATGATGCTGTAGTCTGTGCTTACTCAGAAGTGGATCTTTAGCAATCATTGACGTCTTTACCAAGGCACACAAGAAAATGGGACGTACACTTAATATTCAGAAGACTAAGGTCCTTCAACAAGCTCTTAATGTGCAGTCCAGTAATTTGAATTTACAGTGAGTCTGGAAAATAGAGGTAAGTGTTTTCTGTACCTCAGAAGCCACCTGTCATAGAAAGCTGACATCAACAAAGAAATCCAACATCATCTCAAATGTGCAAGTGCAGCCTTTGGATACCTGAGGAAATAGATGTTCAAAGATTGCAACAGATCTGAAACTAACCTCATGGTTTATCAAGTGGTTGTGAACCCCACCTTTCTGTATGGAGCTGAGATGTGGACAATGTACAGGAGATGCCTCTAGTTGTTGAAGAAGTAACTTTAACACTGCCTGAAGAGGATCCTTTGAATCCAGTGGGAAGACAGACACACCAACATTTGACATAGTCTTGCAAACAAGCACCATGAGCATCAAGACTATGATCATTTGACATTGCCTTTGCTGAGCCGGCCCTGTCATCTGTCTAACTCCAGACTCCCAAGGCAAGTCTTATTCTCCCAGATCAGTCAAGATGCATGCTCAAGAGGAGTGCAGAGAAAGCACTTCAATGATGTACTCGAGGCCAACTTGAAAAAATGCAACATCAACTCGTAAGACACTACCACCCAAGACTACCCCAAGTGCAGGAAGAGTCTGCTGGAAGGATCCCAGTACTTTGCAACCTAACAGGAGATAAAAAAGCAGCAGTGGGAGAAACAGCATGTCATGGACCTGTTCCAGCAGAAAAACGGGCACAAGACATCATGGCAACACCCATGATATAAGCATTGGCCCCTCTGTGACTTCCTTGTTTGTGCCTGGGATTGCAAAGATGCCCATATTACTCAAGCTATGCTAACAGCTGATGATTGCTGGACCAATCACTAACTCTAGAGCCACCCACCCTACATGGAAACACGTTCATGAGTTGCAACAGAGTCTGTTGATCTTGCAAAGGCCTTGTCAGTCATCTTCAGACCCACAGATAAGACAATCACAGAAGACCATCTTTCTTGATTGGGAGAGATTACCAAAAAGTTATACACTGCGTTTAATATCTTATATGTTTATGTAAATAGAAGTATGCACACTATCTCTCTACCTGCTTATCTACCTATCTAGGTGCATACATGCGTGTGCTTGCACGCTCATGTGTGTAAAATAGAAAGCAAGCCTTCTTGAGTAAGTTTTCTGTTCGGATGCTACCTATCACCAAAATGCCATGCACAAAGTGGCAGCTAATTCTGCTGCAGGGAAGAGGCTATTCATTTAGATACAAAATCTAGAAAACAAATTATTAGAGAGCACACAGTTATGATGCTATTTTCTTGCTGGACTAAGGTGTTCCTGCCTACAACACTTATTTAGTGGTGATGAGACAACCATTCTAAGTTTATGTGGACTTCTAATAGCATGGAACAGCACATGAAAACAAGCCCAAACTATAACACTAACAATGCAGTCTAATCCAAATATTGATCCATCTTTCTGCAAAATGAGTGTGTGTGTGTTTGTATGGTAAACAGAAAGAACCTTTTGGCTAAGTAGACAGTAAAAAAGCCTGAGGCTGAATTGATTCAGTCTTTGCATGTTAATCTAAGCTGCAGAGATTGAACTGATGAGCAAATGAACACATTCACTTTTGATTCAGAAAAGGCAGCCATATGCCTGCAGCAGCTCAAGCCAGAAGCTATGGGGCACTAGAGCATGCCTGCCAGCCACTACCAAAGGGAAGAGAAGCTCTCCAAGATGCCCCCCCTACCCCCCCCCCCTTCTGGAGCAGAGGGGGTGTAGCCAGGCCCCAGCCTGGTGGGGTGGGAAAGGTAGTGGCATTAAATTCACAAAAGTTTGAACAAAAACAGTTCTTTCTCTGAAGAACTATGACCCAAACAACTATAAACACATCATGGGCTGTGTGTTCACTTACTCTTCCTGCTGCCTCTGAGGTCTCTGGGATTTGCAGCCCTGAATCACAGCAGTAGAACTCTATAGAGTTGCTCATCACTTCCTCTTCCTGCCTGCAAGTAGTCCACAATCACAGCCAGCAGGGCAGCTTCATACTTGGAGGAAGGGGATTTTAACCCCTCCCTTGCCCCAGACCCCAGCTGGGGTTTGTTGGGGAGAGGGGGCAGTGTGCCAGCCCTCACTACTACAGCTAGGGAGCAGAAGGGAAGGGCCAGCTCTGCCTTCTGGAGCAGACAGCAGAGCCCAGCCCAGGACTGAAAAGCATGCTGGGATGCTGGGGGACTCTGTTTTAACTTGAATCAGGAAGGGATCTGGGACAAGTTTCGTAAACTGGTTTGATCTAAATCAGTTAAACCTGGTTGAATGTAGTATCAGACTTATCTTAAAGTAGTTTTGGCCATTTTGAGACTCGTTTATGTGCACTGAACTTGCGTTCTGTTACAGGTTCAAACCAGTTTCTGATCACTTAAGCCGGTTTATTTGTAACTTCTGTCCCTAGCCTTTGAGAAAATAACTAGAGGCAGAGAGCCTCCAGTTTGCTTAGCTTGGTGTCGAGTTTGAGATCTACAAGACCTGAGTATCAAACCCCTTATCTGTAATAGGCATAATTGGGAGTTGAACCTGGGTTTCTAGAAACCCAGGGTTGTGTTCTGACCACTGGTTGCTGCACACTTTTGGGTTCATGCACTCTTTCTGATCAGAAATCTCATCCTGGGCCCACAAAGCCTTTCTGTCCAAACTGGTTTACACATTCCTGTGAAACGTTTTGTTTTTTCCAAAACAACATTTTGTGTTGAAAAACCATTTCATTGGAAAATTACTAACCAGCTCTAGTTTCACACCCTGTGGTCTGTCATCTTTGATCTGTTTAATGAAATGTGGGTTCCAATAGCACTTGCTGCTGGCCTTTTTTAATCTCTTAAGCTCCCTCCTGCTCTCTTCTAGATTCCTCTCCGACTCGACTCATCTGCAGCTATTTTTCTCTCCTTAGGGAGAACCCTGATCCTGTTTCAGTCTCTCACAAAGACTGCCTGCTGCTTTGCTGGCTTTTCTCTCTCTTTCTCTCTGCTCTTTTCACTAGAAGTGCCTGTAATTGAAAAGTAATGGGGGAAAATCATCCAAACCTATTTTCAAACTCAAATCAAATTTAGCTGGAATTTTAGTACAGGTTTTGGTCGTCGTGCCTTATTATATCCAGATCTATCCACTGAGCTTATCCTCTGATAGCTACTTGCAGTACCAAATGCAAACAGGTTTAAGTCAATGTCTGCCATCAAAGTCAATGGAGTTATTTATGCTCACTTATGCTGGGTCTGTATTTCTCTCTTAATTTTTTATTCTGCCCATCAAATGAGCTAAATCCTCCTGCTTTTCAAATTAGTAAAAAAGTAGGATTTTTTTTTCCTTTCACAACATCATTACCAAAAATAACCAGATGCCTTTATGCTATGCTTTGACCAGTGTTGTTGAACTGTCAGAGATAACTGCTGGATATGGTATTTAATACCAAAATGAGATAATGGCACATTAATGGTAAATTAAATAGAAAGGGCGTATTTTGATTTTAGCGTGCTTTGATGCATAAAAGCATTTGGACAAATCTGCTTGCTTTGGTATAATAGATTTCAGGACACTACACACATCTTTTTCAGCTCATGCATTAGTTACACGGGGGGGAAGAGGGGGTTGGGGAGGGAACCCTTCTGACAGAACCTGGCAAGTGTTCAGAAACCACAACTATTCTGTGTATTGCCTTGCCATTTTTAAAATACATTTTGCGCTTTTGGTAGATGTTGTAATGCATTTAGCACAGTGTGAAGTCTTGGCATAGACCCTAGATTCTAAAATAAGATGAGCTCTGCCTTTTAGAAGAAATGTTTGCCTATGAAATACTTTTGCTATTGAGGGGCTTGTGAGGGCAACAGTACCTGCCACAGCAAACAAAATTCACTTTTAATTTCAATAAATATTCACAGTGCTGGGCAAGAACTTCTTAGTGATTGCTGAATGGGCAAGATTTTATTCCCACATGTGCTGTGCTAATCTCTTTCCCCTGCTGCCTGTATCCTGCCAAACTCGCTGCTGGGTTTGCACACGTGTATGTGGAAGCTTATCTGGGCAGATGCAGGGATCTGTACTACATCGTGTATCTGATCTACTGACTAAATATCAATAGTTCTAAGAAGCCTTATGCTGGGACTCCCTGGCAATATCTAGAAGTGACTGCAAGGAAGTGAAGTCTGTCAGAACTCTTTACATGTACATTAATCTGATTTTTCAGGTGCACTGAGCACCTTGGCTCCAGTGGCCTTTGAGTGTTCGGCACTTGAGAACATCAGATCCTTGTACATGTAGAACTGACAGACTCTGCTTCCCTGCAGTCATTTCTGGCACCCCAAACTGGCATGCACTATATAGATGCTATACTTTGTGGCTCTAATATCAATTAGAAAACTATGGGGCTCTGAGTATCTGTATCAAGTCTTTTTCTGGGCCTGTACTTGACAAATGTATATATGCTACAGAAATGGAAGAGTGCTGAAGCTGAGAGCTGAACATGGTGTTAGAGGGGATGCAGCAAAGCACCAATGAGGATTTTGGTTGAAGGCAGGCAGAACTTCTGTAACAAAACCCCAGATCTCATGATATATAGACCCTGCCACTGTAAGGACAAACTCTGAACTTGGGGCAAGTTCAGTGAAGACCTAGAGTCCTTTCAAGCAAGCCTGGCTCCCTTTCCAATATGTTTGAATTAAAGAAGGTGCATGATGCGGTTCTGTGTTGTTTTCTGCATTGTGGAATAAGTCTGCAGAAATTTCCCATCCTCTTGAGAGAAACAAGTCAGATAAAGTTTAGCAGACTTTTTCAGCCCTTTTGGTGATTCATAAGCAGTCATTCAGCATTGTAACACAAGAAAGGCAAACTGGACTTTTATAAACATTAATGGCACTGCTTCTAGTATCTGCATGTAAACCCATTGTGGTAAACAAAGGGTAAGCTAAGGACTAGGGCTGTTTTATTTAGATATAAGGCATAACTCACCCTTTCTCTGATGTATGTTACTTCAGAGAAAGAGAGACAGTAGTTCTGGTTCACTGTACAACAGGAACGACTGGTTGGGCTAGCTACTCCATAGGCCCATAGGGGGACAATAATATTCTATTTAGGGAAATCCTTGTTGAAATGAGGGAGAAGAACAGAGCTGCTGCTCTGGTGCCTTCAGGGTCAAATTGACTTACAGCTTCTCACTGTAGGGTCAGGTTGTAGCTGGTATCTCCTTGGGTGCAAGAACCTTTTCCCACTATGTATGGAACAACCACACACAGTTGAAGAGCTGCTGAGAGCTCTGCAAAAGGTGCCGGGGGGTCCTATAGTCTGCACCAGCAAGTGTAGATGGCTGGCTAGTCATGGGAGAGCAAGGTGCACCTTCCTAAATGGACATCGGGCACATGAGCTGTGTCTCTCAGGAGTTCTGGGCAGCCAAATGCTCTTTTTGAGCTCCCACAAGGACGGTGTGGCTCCTCCAAACCATTTATGTATACCTGTTCCTTTTATGGCATTATTTGGCCCTTCTCTTTGTCTACCCTACCAGTGACTACAGTGATTCTTGCTGGCTTGTTTTCCAGTTACATGACTTCTTAAAGGTCATGTAGCTGGAAAACATGATTTTGGTTCCACAGCTGGACATCTCTCATTGGGGTCTTCAACTCCATTCAGAGCATGAGGATTTGCTAATATGAGAGAGACAAATGTTACAGAAGTTTGTACTAAGTGTTGTGAACCAGGTTTCACTGAGCCCTAGGAGGAGCTAGCATAGGGGTGGGCAATTATTTTGGCTGGAGGGTGACTTAATGAGTTTTGGGGACCTGTTGAGGGTCGCATCTATTTTTGTCTCTCTCACTGTACCTCGCTTCACCTCCTTCCTCACTCTCTGTCTCTTGTCTCATCTCATCTGTCTGTCTGTGCCTGTTTCTTTCTCTCTCTCCTTCCCTCCAGAACCTGGCCAGAACAATAGTTCACCAGGAGCCTTGAATCTGAGCTGCAGACCCAGACAGGGACTTCTGCCATGGTGAGTGGGTGGCGCCATCAGCTGTGGGTGCAGCCAGCAGGTTCTGGAGCCCTGGCACAGAGCCTGCCATTGGTGTCACAGAGAACACTACTGCCTGCCCAGTGTGGCAGAAGCTGCTGCCTGTGTCCATAGCTGATTCTGCTGGCAGGATCCAGCTCTGGGCAGGAGCTCGCACGGCTCCAGGAGAGTAGCGGTGTCAGCTGTGGACGCTGCCAGCATGTTCTGCTTCAGGGCTCCTGAACCTGCTGGCAGCATCCACAGTGTTGCCACAGTGTCACATGTATTAAGCCCCCCACACATTTAAAAATGGTCACAGTTGAGGTGTGTAGGTAACTGTGAGAGTGTCAGGGATCAGACTAAAGCCCAGTTACCTTGAATTAATCTGTTTATGCTCTTCAGAAGGTGGCACTGGGCCCAGATACCTAGCAGATAATGGCTGCCAGCAGGAAGAAAGGAGGAAAAACTTCTGTTGAGTCAGTTACAGCTCTTGCATGTCTCAGCCACTCTAGGGACAGGATAGAAATGTACCATCCACGAAAATATGGGATAGACCCCCCCCCCGCCGCCCCACGTTGTTCCAACACTTGTTCTCGGCAAACATTTGGGGCCAAGAACCAACCTACTTTCTGTCTGAAACAACCTCTGTGGGGCTTTTGGCATTGCTGACAGCACAAACTGCACTCTTCTGTGCACCACATTCTTACTGGTCCCTGTACAGGTGTAGTGCAGGGAGGAGGGCACCAGCTGGCTTCATTCTGCATCCATGGGGAAGGGAGGCACAATACAGCTCCAAAGAGCTAAACCCCAACCCCCAAGAATTCTCCCTTAAGAGCACCTATATTGGTTAATTCTTACTGCAGCAGATGAGCATATCTGAGGATTATACATCCCATTTGTAATTAGAAGTATGTTCCATTTGGTGTCTTTCATTTAAGTTATTCTGTTTCAGTGCCTAGGCTTTGTCTTAGGTGTGTGAAATTTTTTTTGCTGTGTCAGGAGCTTTGCTTAGTTATTCATGTGTTTAGACCCAAGGTAAGATGCTTATCCTTTCATGCAGATCAAAGACATATGTTTAGGGGTTTGGAATAGGTAAGCAGGAAGAGAAGATATCTTTAAAATGAAAACCTAGTATACCTTCTGAGTAATTATATATAGCCATATACATATGTGTGTGCACCCTCCTAGTATTCAGTGGTTTTCAGTGACACAGTAATGTTCATTAAAGCTGCAATCTTCCAATAATTACAATGATTGTCAACCAGAGTAGCTCTCCAATGGGCTTTTCTTTTTTGGCAGTGATAAACACATTTCCTCTTCTTGAAAAGGAGAGTTTTTGCCAACACAGTGAAAATACAAAAGTTTAGTTCCCAAAGAAAGAGAGATTTTGACTTGGCTGATGGAACCAAGTCTAGAAAATTATGGTCTCACAGCATGAACTACCAGCACAGCTCCTAACACATAGGCTGCCTATACATGTGTTTTGGAGGTGGGGGGAGAGGGAAGGATTAATTAGAGCAGCCCCCATGCACCCGCTCTAATTTAAACTACTGCAGATTCACATGTATTAAGCCCCTGCACAGTTAAAGTGCCCCAAGGCCATTTTTAAATGTGTGGGGGCTTAATACACATGACACTATGGCAACATAGTAGTGTTTTAATTAGAACATGGAGCAGCTCAATTAGTCGAGTCTGCTCCAGCATGTTCTAATTAAAACACCATCAAGCATGATATTGGCAGCCATAGTTACTATAGGATGTTGTGTTTTAACACTGGCTAATTGACATATACAAGCTCAAAACTCTTAAGACTGTCTTTTACAGTAATAATATAAAATAGAAGTGATGGGGGGCATGGTGTATTGTACATACTGAATGAATTTGTGGGTGAGCATAGGGATAATTAACTATCTAAATATGGAGTTAGGGCCAGACATTTCTGGATGTTGGGCTCTTTTAAAGTTCCCACAAAACAATATTATTAAAATTACAAAGGACTCACAGCATCAAGGATTGTGACACAAGACTTAATGGGCTGAGATTCTGACATCTGCTGTGAGGCACAAGCAAGATGAGGCCAGGATTTCTTTCTTTCTTTTTTTTAAAGGTGCTTGGCTCCACAATCTTTACCCATGCCTCTCAATACAGGCCTGAGTTGAGTCTTTCTATGTCCTTCCATAGGTGTTGGAACAAGCTCTAAGTGACTGGACTTTCATAAGTGTTGTGCATCCTTTCAGTTTCCACTGATTCCATTTTCCAGCCCCATCCACAAGCCCCTTTTAATCATGTTCATGGAGAACAAGCTTCTCTTCTGTTGCTTTATAAATTGATCAAGAAAGAAAAAGGACTCCCAACCTGCCACCTTGATTTGGCAACAGGGAATGTTTACAGACCAATTAAAGAATATTTAAAATAGTGGCTCCTCCACCCCCTTCCCACTGCCTCCACCACAAAGGCACATTACTATACTATGTTGGCAAGAGATACCTGAGTCATCATCAAATAATAGTCAAAATATGACTGTTGACCATCTTTCAATATGACCTTTTTCCTTTAAGGTCTAATGTTTGTGTGACTCTTTCCTTGGCTATTTCCACAGATATTTTCAATATCTTCACCTCCAAAATCCCACTGGGACAAGAAATAGAGATGCCAGAATATCACAAGGAATATCACAGAGTAATCCTGCTCCAGTTGGACATGGGAGCTACTGGCAAGCACAGGAATAATCAGCCCAGCTTTGGTGAGTAGAGTGGAATGGGGCTCTTGTATTTATTTAGTCCACTATGAACAGGAACTAGTATGATTTAACTAAACTGCTTAGGACATGCAGAATTTCCCAGTGGGAGTTTTGCCTGAGCAAAGACTGTATGATTTGGTCCATTAAGAATAAGGGATTAAATGCATACATTTATATTGCATTTCATAAATAAATGAGGAAAAATCAATACCTGAGAGAAGGATTTATTATGAACAGCTTGACCAAATTATAATGGAATAGAATATTGTTGGATAACAGTGACCTGATGGTACTGAAAATCCCGTTACAAGGTTCCAGTGTTACACGGGACTAAAATAACAAAAAGACTGATGTATTTTTGTAATGCATAAAAGCCTACAATAGCCTTGTAAAAATGGGTGCTTACTTCCTTATTGTTAGTCAAGAGAAGAAAGTGATGTCAGAAAAGTACATAGTAAAAAGTTTTATAATGTCCTTTTGGGAATATAAATACTTATAAAAAATTATTCTGGAAGGGGCAAGGGAATGAGGGAAGAGCCAGAAACACAGTATTGTGACTTGGGCAGGACTATTCATTAAATAGTGGTGAGTTGTAAACTCATTTCATTCATGTAATGCTTAGCACTTTTCATCTTTGCAATATATATGAATATTAGCCATTCAAACCTTAAAGCACTCCGGGAACATAGAAACTAGGTGCTTATTATCCCTATTTCACAGCCGAGGAAGAGGAGAGACAGAGCTTAAGCAATTTGCCAAGGGCCACAAAGATTTTTAAAGAGCCAGGGTTATAAAATACCATAAAGCTGATATGTCTGTGAAAATACCAAAAAAAATAACTCCATTCTGCCTTTATCTACTTTACTTATCTAAACCAGCTAATCTGTCTAAGGTACTTATTTGGTCCCCATTAAATAATACAAGATTTAATGTATTTATCCTCACAAAACCATTGTGAGGTAATGAAGTACTCTTTTATGCCTGGGGGACTAAGACACAGAGAGACTGAGATTCTGGTTTGCTCTGTCCTAGGGGCCAACTGCTGGACATTCTTTTCCTTCTGTCCAACTCCATGAAAATACATTGCTTAAATCTGGTATAAATCAGAGCAAAATCAATCCCATTGTATTTGCAACTCTCAATCTTATGTTATACCATGATTTTTTTCTGAAAATCGTGAATGACATTTGATTGCTTTGGCACATAGATTTATTATGCTGTGAAATAAATGTTATAGATACACTGACAGAGATTATAGAATGGTAATGTATCCTTGTTGCATTAAAGTATTTTAACTGCATTTTTTTCATTAAGAATTCCTACATTATTTGGAAGCATACAAGACAAATTTGATTTAAAAAGGTCACCTCTGCAGTGCTATTTACAAATGAAGCAGGGGGCTTTGGAAATCTTAATTAGAATAGAATTCTAGGAAATTCTAAGGTCATGTTCTTCTTGGAGAAGGTGGTAATAAACAGTAACTCAGCTGCTAAACTCTATTAATATTTATCAGATAAGACTGTTATCTACCTGACTAAGATTAAAGAACCCTAGGACTTGGGTATAAGCACACTACTGTCTGACTTGACATATGATAAAATATACGTTTACAACCAAAACATTTCTTTAGACATAAAATCCAAACTATGCAAAACCAACAAAACTGTATTTGGATTCTAAACAGAATGGCTGTGAACTGGTATTTTTTTAATAACAGTGAGTCCTGATGCTATTATAAACCCTTAGGATCTTTAGTACATGTGTTATGGGATTGTAAAAAGATTTAGTGAACACAGGAAAGACACTAGAATATTCATCCTTTATAGGTACGGACCTACTGAACTTGTGGTGGCTGCTGGCTGATTTCATGGGGAAAACATGGGGCTGGCAGCCATTTCACTATCTGGCATAGGGTGGGAAAGATAACCAGTAGGGCAGAAGTGCTGGACTTCAGAAAAACTAACTTCAGTGTGCTCAGTAGATTAGTTCATGAGGCACTGAAGAACAGGAGAATTGGTGAGATGGGAGTCCAGGAAGGGTGGTTGTTCCTAAAGGGAGCGATCTTACAGGCACAGAAGGAGACAATCCCATTATGAAGGAAAGTGGGGAAAGGGGCCAAGAAACCCTCTTGGCTGAACAGGGAAATCCAGGAAAACCTAGGAGCAAAGAAGAGGCATACAGACTGTGGAAGCAGGGGGTAGATACCAAGGCAAAGTATACCTACTTGGCCCACACTTACAGGGAGGCAGTCAGAAAGGCCAAAGCAGAAATAGAACTTAGACCAGCAACAAAAATTAAAGACAACAAAAAGTCCTTCGTCAGATACATAGGGAGTAAAAAGAAGGTGCAGGGTAGCATAGGACCCCTACAGGACAAACTGGGGCAATTAGTGATAGATAGGGGGGACAAGGCTGAGCTCTTCAATGAGTTTTTCCCGTCTGTATTACTGAACACGGATCAGGACAAATCTCCCAATTAGATCAGAGATAGGCACAAAAGAGAAACTGGCCCACCAACTGTTTGCACCGACTTAGTGAAGGGACACTTGGAGGGGCTGGATGTGTTTAGGTCAGCAGGTCCAGATGATCTTCATCCAAAGGTACTGAAGGAATTGGCCAGTGTCATAGCAGTCACTAGCACGGCTATTTGAGCACTCACGGTGCTCAGGCCAGGTCCCAGAGAACTGGAAAAGGGCTAATGTGGTCCCTATTTTCAAGAAGGGGAGGAAGGAGGATCCAGATAACTATATACCAGTTAGTCTCACCATTGTCCTCAGGAAAACTTAAAAAAAAATTAAGGATCACATTTGTGGGAGTCCAGCAGAGAAAACCATGCTAAAGGGCAACTAGCGTGGATTCATAGCAGGTAGATCCTCCCTGACTAACCTTGTTTCCTTTTATGACCAGGTCACAAAAAGCTCAGACACAGGAATTGAGGTAGATGTCTTCTACTTGGATTTTAAGAAGGCGTTCAATATGGTATCTCATTCTATTCTGACAGATAAACTGAGTGGCTGTGATATAGATGATTACACAGTCATGTGGGTGGCAAATTGGCTTAGGGGTCGCACCCAGAGAGTGGTGGTGGATGGGTCGGTATCAACATGGAAAGATGTGAGCAGTGGAGTCCCACAAGGCTTGGTCCTTGGACTGGTGCTGTTGAATGTCTTCATCAGTGACTTGGATGAGGGCATAGAAAGCACTTTGTCCAAATTTGCAGATGATACCAAAATATGGGGTAAAGTGAACACACTAGAGGGTAGGGAATGAATCCAGGCAGATCTGGACAGGTTGGAACAGTGGGCGGAACAGAATAGGATGCAGTACAATAAGGACAAATGCAAGGTGCTGCACCTAGGGAGAAGGAATCACCAGAATGCTTACAGGCTGGGGGATGACCTTCTCAGCAGCACAGCAGCAGAAAGGGATCTCGGGGCCATTGTTGACACCAAGATGAACATGAGTCATCAATGTGATTAAGTGATCAGTGAAGCTAACTGCACTTTATCATGCATTAGCAGGTGCATGACAAACAGGTCCAGGGAGGTGATACTTCCCCTTTTGTGGCATTGGTCAAACCACAGTTGGAGTAGTGTGTCCAATTTTGGGTGCCACACTTCAAGAGGGATGTGGACAACCTCAAGAGGGTTCAGAGGAAAGCCACTCGTATGGTTAAGGGCCTACAGGCAAAGCCCTACGAGGAGAAATTGAGGGCCCCAGATCTCTTTAGCCTCTGTAAGAGAAGGCTGAGAGGTGATCTTGTGGCCACCTACAAATTCATCAGGGAGGGGGCAGCAAGGAATAGGAGATGCTCTGTTTACCAGGGCACCCCTTGGAGTAACTAGGAACAAGGGCCACAAACTGATGGAGAGCAGATTTAGGTTAGACATCAGAAAGAACTTTTTTATGAAAAGGGTGGCCAGAATCTGGAATGGGCTTCCAAGGGAGGTGGTGCTCTCCTCCACCTTGCAGGTCTTTAAGAGGAGGCTAGACACGCACTTGGCTGGGGTTGTCTGACCCCAGTGCTCTTTTCTGCCCCAGGGCAGGGGGTCAGACTCAATGATCTGCTAAGATCCCTTCTGACCCAGACATCTATGAATCTGAGTGTGATGGGAGCTGAGAGCTGATAAGTGCCAGGACTGGGAAGCTCTCTGCCCCCTGTCCTGACTCCTAGTGTGGAGCTGGTTGCTCCAGGGAGTGAGCATAGGCTGGGAATCCAGCCCTCATCTGGATTCCCAGTATAGAGCTGCTCCAGGGGGCAGGCAGGGGCTGGATTCCCAGCCCCCACTCTTTCCTTTGAGCAGCCAACTCTGTACCATGTGGAGATGCTCTGGGAGACAGGCAAGGGCTGGGTTCCCAGCCCCCACTTGCTCCCCTGAGCAGCCAGCTCCTCGCAGAATTGGCTGGTTCACGGGACAGGTGAGGGCTGGATTCCCAGCCTCTCCCACTGCTCCCTGAAGGAGCTGGCTCCATGCCAAGCACAGTAGCTGCTGGTGAGCCCTGTGCCTTTCTGCCTGGCAGGAGGCTCACCCACAGCTGTTTCACACCTGAAACAGCTCCCAGCAAGTCCCTATCGGGCAGGGGGTTTGCTGGCAGCTCTGTGTCTGGCTGAGCACAGGGCCAGGAGAGCTCTACCCACTTCAAGGGCAGCTCTCTCCTGGCCCTGTGCACATCAGGTCCCTTCCCAATCTACACGGGGCCAGGAGACATATAGATGTGCCCATGAGGCAGTAAAAGCTACTGCTTCTTCCAACAGCAGAACAGTGAGATATGCTTTGTCTTTGATACCTTACCTGTGCTGGCTGCTGAGACGGGAATCATTCACTGAGTTCACCTCATCCCCACTAAACTTACCATCCTACCACCAGTTTATGATCATTTAAACAAGTTTATGTGTAATTCCTGTCCTTAGCCTGGTGGAGAAAGGTGGGAAAGCTTGCATTTCACCCTTTGGGCTGTGGCCATTCTGTTGGTTAACAGAGGGCTTCATTTTCCAAGGGGCCTTCCATTACCACCGTTCATATTAAACTTTTTTTTAAAAAAAAGGTCTTTCTAAATCAAATAGTTGCTTTTGTCCCCTGTTTGCCTTATTATCATTTTGTTTCTGATCCATTGTGCTGTGTCATTTCTACTTCTATAAATAATCTGTATAAGCAATCCCATATATTTGTCCCATTTCTTCAGTATCTGAATGAAGTAATGAAACAAGAAAAAACAAAAAATAACAAACTGATGGGGAAATAGAGTCTTTTCTATAGGACTGCTTGATTGTTTGTATTGCTTCTTTTCTGTTATCACTGTGTATCAATGAATTTGTATTATCGAATGGAAAGGTAGTGGTCGTGTGAGGGTGTGGAACAAGGTATCTGGATCCTAAATCCAGAGTCAACACTTGGCTCTGAATAATTGGCTAACAGAAAAGAAGCAATGCAAACTATCAAGCAGACTTTCTTCCTAGGTTTTTGTGTTTAACCCACAAATGATAAAAATGTTAGTTTATAGTTTGATTTCTAAGGGATCCATTACTGAGGTGTGGGAGGCACATTACTGCATACACTTTTTTTCTATGTAGATATCTAGTGGCGTCTGAAATGTAAGGCAGGAAAAGGTCAATGGATGTTATGATAAAACCTGTTTTGGGAAACAATATTTTAAAATACGGTTTAAAGATTTGGTGGTCTGACCTGAGGTATGTGAATGGGGCTGAGTTACATATTCCAAACTTTAGTTGCTCAAACAAATTATTTTGTGCTGAAATGTGTCATATTTGCAGTATTTATTTTGGAAAGTTTGACCCATGCTAGGTTATATGAGTGTGAAAAAAAATTACCCTCATGTTCCAACTGAAATTTTATGCTTTTACAACTCATAAGCAGCACTAGCTAAAATCCTAGGACTTAAGTTTTTTTTATAGTCTTTAGTAAGAAAGAAGAAACAATTATAATTTGAAAAAATCTGGTGCAATATTTTTAAGAGTGTGGGACTGGATACTTGGTATACCTAAAAATTTAAGTCCACATAATACTGCAAAAATAATGTAAAGGGGCCTTAGAGTAAATGGGAAATAGATCCAGGCAGACTTTAATTTGGTATTTTTGTACATGCATATTGGATGTTTCTGTTCATTTTTTCCCTTGACAAGATTAATTTAAGGGCATTTCAGCTATGGACTCTTGAGTTAGTCTCCTTAGCAAATGTGTTGCATTTCAGTGCAAGACATTATTTAGCAGCAGTTTTCTTTTCTTTCTTTCTTTGAAAAAAAATAAGGAAAACTACCATATTTACTTGAATACCAGATGAGGTCCCCCCCTCCCCACCCCAATCAGCATGGAGGAAAAAAGCTCATCATCTTACAGTCACATATAAGGAAACTTCATTAAATACATTGTCTGTCATTAAACTGCTGCCAAAAGCAGCTTGTGCTTAGTAATGGAAACCAATTATGAAGAATAAATCCGGCTAACGCTGACCATGACTATAAAACACATGGCCCATATTGGGCAAACATCCTAATGGGAACTGTGTGTGTGTCTTAAAAAAATGAGCATGTGTTCCCTCTACAGGGAACTGGCACTAGGCCTGTAAGTATTACAATACTAGGCCAGCACTGGCAGGGCCAGAGCCAGCCCTGACACCATCCCATTGTTGCCAAAAATATTAAAATTCAAGAAGATGAAGTTCAAGGCATAAGGAAATACAGAAAACATGCGCAAGGAGCTGCATAGTAGAGATTTGGGGTAGGGGTGTGAATGCAACTAAGTTACACATGGAACATGCATCCAACTAAGCCTGGGGGGGGGTAGAAAGGGGGAAAGAATATACAGGAAACCCCACACAGCAATACTGCATTTGAGTAGGGAGTTGATTTATAGGCACATACGTAGTTACAAATAGTGACTTGCAGGATATAATTGTGGGTAGGGAAGGTCCTTAGGGTACTTTTAGGTGTAGCAGGGGGTGGCAGTTAGGTGGTCCACATCCAGTCAGCAGTCTGATGGGGTCCACATACTGGCACTGTCCTGTGATGTGCTCCATGTAGATAGTAGGCCTGTGTGAAGTAGCTAGTATTCGCTTTGGATTTGGCCAGTTTGGGGGACAGTCCCTTCAATGGCTGCCCTGCCTGGCCCCATCTCCCTACTCTTTTTTTTTTTTTTTTTTAAGAGCCCCAGGGTCACCAGCTGCTGCCAGGCAGAGGGGTGAACCCTGCTGCCCCCCACTGCCCTGCGCTGCATGGGGAGCTCTGCCACAAGCCCCCAGAGGCCCTGACAGTCGCTGCAGCAGCTGGTGAGTGGGGGCTTTTATTTATTTATTTATTTTAAAGAACCGACACTGGGGTCGGGTGGGGCAGCCATGGGGGAGGGCTGGGAGAGTGGGCGGCTGATGGGGGCTCATGACAAAGCCTCCAACACAGCGTGGGGCAGTGGGGGGCAGCAGGGATTGCACCTCCTCTTCCTGGCAGGAGCTGGTGAGTGGGGGCTTTTTTTTTTTTTATTTATTTATTTTTTTTAAGAGCCAGTAGCTGGGGCCAGGCAGTGCAGCCATGGGGTGGGGCACTCAGGAGGGGAGCAGGCAGGGGATGGAGCTTGGTGGGGGTCCCCCCATGGTCCCCTTTCCCCTCCTCCAGACCCCCCCCCCCACTTACTAGCATGGAGCCTGTGTCCAGTTCTCTGTGGCAGCGAGTGGGGGCTGCCTGAATCTCTGAAGCTCTCCGAATCCTTTCTGAATCTATTTGGAGAGCTTCAAATGGATTTGGACCTTTTTATTGGTCTGATTCTATTCAGATTCAGAGATTCAACTGCCAAATTGGGCCATATCTCCTCCAAATCAAATCAGCACCTGAGCCTTCACACAGCCCTAGTAGATATCCCTGGACTAGCAGATGGTGTCAGACACCATGAGATGCCACATCAGGTTGGCAAAACCATGGGATACATGGCAGTACATGGGATACACAACACTCTTATTGCTGGGGTCCCATGCTCTAAGTGTCCTGATGATCAGTGCCTCCCTCAACTGTTATATCA